TTCCAGCCCCTCCAGAGGCAGATAGTCCTTCAGTTCAAGGTTCTTCACGGGGAAGTTCACTGAGAGGGGGGAAAAGGTAGGAAAGGTTGGAGGGAGGAAAGGGAGGAAGAGTATGGTGCATAAGAATGACTTGGGCCGTTGTGTGGCACCTCCTGCAGTGGCCGATAGTCCTTCAGCTCAAGGTTCTTCACCAGGAGATTGGCCAAGCGAGAGGGAAGGTATGGAAGAGCGGAGGGGGGAAACGCAGAGAGGGGAAGTGGGGGATGTGTACATATGATACCCTTGCATGGCACCTCCTGCAGTGGCACATAGTCCTTCAGTTAAAAAACCACATGCTCACATGCGATGGGAGCAAATGTGCTGCTGGAAAAAAAGAAGAAGAAAATCAATTAAAGCCACGATAAACCAAGGGTGCCTGTTGCACAAGCTACAAGGAGGACGGGTGCACTCACTCACCAAGGGTGGGGTTCTTCTCTATGAAAAAATTGTTCTTCTTGAATCGCTTCATATGGAGGATGAGGTACCGCGGTAACCGCGTGATCCGATACCGCATACGGGCAGGATGCGGTCGCACAACTTCAGTCACAGTCTGCCCGTCAAACTTCTTCAAAATGTTGAACAGGGGAACCTGGGGAATAATATTCTTCTCCATTACATCCTTAAAAAGCGGGGGAGGAGGCAAATCTAACCCCAGCATGAGAAACGGCATCCGGCTGACCTCCCGTTTCACCCCATCCTCCTCCTTCTCCCCTTCACCCTCCCCTTCCTTCCCCTCCTCCCCCTCCCGTTTCCGCTTCTTCCCATCCTCCACACAGCTTCTCTTCCCTGCGACCTCTTTAGTCACCTCCAGCTCGCCCTGAAAGCACTCCTGGATTATGGAGCTTATATGATGCGCCTTTTTTCCTGCGGCCTTAGCTGCAGCAGCAGCGCTTTTAGCTAAGTCTGCGTGGAGAGTGTTTAGCAGCCAGGAGAGGAGGTCGAGAGGGTCGGACTGCTGACCAATTAGGAATCGTTTCTTGCTCGCAAGCATGATGGCTTGCAGGAATTCGTGAGGGCTGACCTGGCAGGAAAAGAAGGGGAAGGAAGAAAGGTGTGATGGTAGGGTAAGTCAAGGGGGTTGAGTTGCTGGCCGATAAGAAACCGACTCTTGCTCGCAAGCATGATGGCTTGCAGGAATTCGTGAGGGCTGACCTGAGAGATACGGAAGGGAGGAGGGGAAGATGTGGGGCGAGAGGGGAAAGACGTGGGGGATGTAGGGTAAGACCAAAGAGTCAACAGAGCATCAGACATAATGATAAATAGGACAGACTCTCCACTTCACAACACCTGCCCCCTTAAAGTGCCTTGGATGCCACACTTTCCGCGCCAGATCTCCAAAGCATCAAGAAATAGCGCATCGAGAAATTGCGCAATACGGTCACCAAAGAACAGGTAATCGGAAAAAGACTCTGCATTCAACGCACCTGCCCCTTGAAGTTCCTTGGATGCCACACTTTCCGCACGAGCTCTCCAAAGCGGCGCACGAGTGCAGTGGGCTGGGCGGCGGGCGAGTGGGAGGCGGGCGTGTAGTTGGCGGGGAGCAGGAAGAAGTTGCGGAGCGGCGTGACTCGCATGAGCGACTGGATGATCACATTCACATACCCCGTGTCCTTTATGTTGTTCAGACCCACCTGAGAGGGTGGAAGGGGGTGGAAGAGGGTGGAAGAGAGGAGGGAGGGGTGATGGGGAAGGAGTGAAGGGGGAGGGAGAGAAAAATAGAAAAATGAACCCACTTTTCCACGCCACATCTCACCCCACACCCCTCACCACCTGTCATCCCTCACCACCCTTCACCACCCTAAGTCTGTCTGAATCACACTGCACTCACCATGTCGGGGATGTAATCAGTGCCGTCCAATGCGCGAGCCCACTGCTTGCTGTGGTCGAACTGCGCTATCTGTGCCACCTTGCACCCACCCACCGTAGCCCCTGACTGAATCACACTGCACTCACCATGCCGGGGAAGTTATCCGTGCCGTCCAGTGCGCGAGCCCACTGCTTGCAGCAGTCGCACTGCGCTACCTGTGCCACCTTGCACCCACCCACCATAACCCTGACTGAATCACACTGCACTCACCATGCCGGGGATGTAATCCGTGCCGTCCAGTGCGCGAGCCCACTGCTTGCTGCGGTCAAACTGCTCTATCTGGGCGGCAGTGAACCTGATGACGTCAGCATGACGTCAAAATGAGATGCAGAATATTGAAAGGGAGAGAGGGAAAATGGGGGAGTGAGCAAGAGGACGAGAGGATGGGGTTTAGATCATGCCAGAGACAAGTGTGCGAGGACCGCATTCATTAAGGGTTGAGCACCCACAGGGGAGAAAGAGCAGCACTCAATGAAACTTCAAAGCCACATTCACTGGGAGTTCAGAACAGCAGTCATCAGGCAGAACGAGCAGCGCAGCACTCACTTTGGGTTGAGCACGCTTTTAATGTCATCGAGCGGCGGATCAGACACCTGGTACCCATCAGGCAGGCAGTAGACCTTCTCGGAGTGCAGGTTGATGAACACGTGGTGCCCCGCTTGGTACGAGCCCTCAGCAGCTGCCTCCCATGCCTACACGTGTGCCCCCACAGCAGCACTCACCGCGGGTTGAGCACGCTCTCGATGTCGTCCAGCGACGGGTCAGACACCTGGTAGCCGTCGAACTCGGCGGGGGTTCAGATGAGCACTCACCTAGACAGCATAGCCGCACTCACCGCGGGTTGAGCACGCTCTTGATGTCGTCCAGTGACGGGTCAGACACCTGGTAGCCGTCGAACTCGGTGGGGGTTCAGATGACCACTCACCTAGACAGCATAGCAGCACTCACCGCGGGTTGAGCACGCTCTTGATGTCGTCCGGTGACGGGTCAGACACCTGGTAGCCGTTGAACTCGGCGGGGGTTCAGATGAGCACTCACCGAGACAGCATAGCAGCACTCACCGCGGGTTGAGCACGCTCTAGATGTCGTCCAGTGACGGGTCAGACACCTGGTAGCCGTCGAACTCGGCGGGGGTTCAGATGAGCACTCACCTAGACAGCATAGCAGCACTCACCGCGGGTTGAGCACGCTCTTGATGTCGTCCAGCGAGGGGTCGGAGACTTGATATCCGTCAGGCAGGCAGTAGACCTTCTCGGAGTGCAGGTTGATGAACACGTGGTGCCCCGCGTCCACGCTGTGCGTCACCGCGTGCGACGAGCGCGCGCGGCCCTGGAAGTACTTTCCGCACACCAGGCAGCCGTACACGTTGAGATTCGAGAGAGAGACCGAGCAGAACTTCTCAAAGTCGAAATCCAGGAGCTGGGGGGGGGGGGGGCGGGGGGGGGGGGGGGGGAGAGGGGGGGTGTGGGGAAAGGGGGAATGGACGGGTTTGGGGAAACAGAGACCCCGTGTTTTAAATCGGAGAAGTCAAAATTGCGTTTTTCCTGTGATCCGCAATCGTCGGCCCAGTGTTAAGAGCAGACCTGCCGGTTGACCATGTCAAGGTACCTGCCGGTTGACCGTGTCAAGGTACCTGCCGGTTGACCGTGTCAAGGTACCTGCCGGTTGACCGTGTCAAGGTACGGACACTCGCGCCGGACCTCCAAATGACCGCGTCTTCCGCTCACGCGAATCTCGTCCCCCTCCTCGTCGTCGTCCTCGTTTCTATCCTCCTCGTCATCTGCGTATTGCACAAGCCCTGAATCTTTCGGATCGGTTTTCTCATCTGCGGATCGGTTTTTAGCTCTTTCCAGGCTGTGTGAAAAGAGCGACCTTGCTTCTGAACCAACCGCTGCTGATACTCCGCCAAGGCTAGCTAAATCTGCCATCGGCGACGAGACCAGTACGACGAACTTGCTGCTGGCCTCGAAACAACTGCCTGATAACGATAAGGGGCCCCACTTCAGGGTAGCTTGAAATTAGGGTTAGCAAGTGGAAGGGACGGTAGGAATCATGTACAGTAGCTTCTAAATAGGAATGCATGTAGGTACTAGAATCCTCAGCGAAATCCTCTAGATGGGCAAGATTGGTACATCCTATTGCAATGAGATACACTTTATTCCAGATCCTTCCAACAAATTTGCATGTTTCAGCAATTGGTACCAGGTAATGTACAATTGTGGACGTCGTACCATTTGCTCCACCTGAACCAGGCGCGGCGATCACTGAACCCTGTTCCGCGGCCCTGGTCTGGGCCAAGCATGCTAGCCTCGGCGAACTTTGTCAGCGTGACTCACTCATGCTTAGGTGGCACATAATCATTGGCCTCGAAACTCAAGTATTCAGGATGGTGGTGGACAAGGGCAGCTCATCGGCCTTTTCAAACCTGACCAACAGCGAAAGAAAACCTGCGGGAGCTCTGCGCTTCGGCCTCTAACCTGCGGGACGAAAAGTCTCGAACAGCTTGATTGGTCAAGAGCTGCTATCAGCCTGTCACGAAATCATGATAAGACATTTGACGAACCCTTCCCATAGTCGCCAAAACTTGCTGAAGTTACCCAAAATGCAGATCAACCGCTGTGAGTGCTCGAAGCCTGATGAATGAACGCTCTCGATTCGTTATCTCGTTCTTGTGGGCGTGCGCAAGAACCAAGGAACTGTTCTGGCACTCCCATGTTGGATTGGGTTCCTCAATGCTGCTCCACCATCTCTCTGCTCTGCTTTGCTCCCCTCCTCTCCTCTTCTCTCCACCACCCCCACATGCCCACACTCTCCCCACAAGATTGCTGCCGACCCCTAGTTTTTCCGAGCATGTTTATTTGTATGTCTCGCTGTAAACTGCATATTTCAGCTCATCCCAGCTTCTATCACTGGCATCGGCTCTTCCGCAGTCGTACTCGAAGCTAGGACAGAGCGCTGACCAGGCACCCATGTAGTTGCTTGCTGGTAAAAAAAAAAAGAGCCTCAACTGCCTGGTTGTTTCACTTTTCACATGCCAAATTCTAAACGATTTGCTCGCAGCAACCACCTTCGCTCCACGGCGTTCCCGAGAGCTATGGTCTCAAAGCCATGGCGAGGCTTGAGACATCTAGCCGTCGTCGTTACGCTCCTTCTCATGATCATCTGTCTCCAAGCGACTGTATCGGAAGGTACTCATTATACTCCCATCTCAGATTTTTTTCCGCTGACGTCACACGTTCCGAGGTCGGACTGGTCTGCCGTTCAAGTTCTTTCGGCTTACGAATCCTGTTCCGTAACCCTACCCGCGCTAGCCTGTTCTGTTTATCCATCTCAACTCTCGCTGAACTTGCGCCGGTGCGTGCATGCGCAGAACTGCCGCCGGTGGTGAGCGTGGAGAGCTTCGTGCACGCCGCGGACCACGATGGCGACGGCGAGATCGGCCCTGAGGAGGCCCACCAGGTGCGCGCGTCCCTCGCGTTCTTCATTCGATCCCATTTCCAGTTTCTGCTTGAAGGGTGACATTTCAGGGAGGCTAATGTGATGAGGAATGTTTAGGGTTACATACGACATAGCTTGACGTTACTGAAAAGCTAGCCCGGTTCTTTCGTCCCCTTTTTCTGGCGATTGATGATGAATGATGAATGATGAATGATGAATGATGGATGATGAATGATGGATGATGAATGATGGATGATGAATGATGGATGATGAATGATGGATGATGAATGATGGATGATGAATGATGAATGATGAATGATGGATGATGACTGATGGATGATGAATGATGAATGATGTATGATGAATGATGGATGATGAATGATGGATGATGAATGATGGATGATGAATGATGGATGATGAATGATGAATCATGGATGATGAATGATGGATGATGAACGATGGATGATGAATTATGAATTATGGATGATGAATGATGGATGATGAATTATGAATCATGGATGATGAATGATGAATGATGGATGATGAATGATGGATGATGAATGATGAATTATGGATGATGAATGATGGATGATGAATGATGAATGGTGTATGACAGCTATGGGCGCGTGTGCTGGAGGAGGAGAAGCGATTCGAGGAGCAGGAAGCGGAGGCGTCGGGCGGGGAGCGCGAGCGCGAGACGGGTGAGAGCGAGACCGGCGGCGGCGAGTCGAGCATGGCGGATCTCATGGCGGACCACCGCCTGGACATGTCGTTCAGCTATGGCGGCAGCAGCATCTCCACCGCCGAGATGAGCGTACGTGGTTGTACATCCGTTTCGAGATGCCTCGAAACGTACTTGAATGACGAGCTATCTTTGGCATGAATCAATGAATCCGATCATGGGTGAATGACAACATGGCATGCGTGTCCCCTTGATAGCTCCAGAGTCACCTTGATTCCTTGGGTTCCCTGCGTGCAGGATCATCTGAGTCACATGCTGACAGGGGAGAAGGTGGTCGCGTGGATCGTCCATGGCCTACGGCTGCCCCAGTACGCGGAAGTCTTCAGGGCCAACTCAATCGACGGCCTGGATTTCCCCACGCTTATATCCGATAACGGAACGTTTCTTAAAGAGGATCTCGGGGTGAAAAGCGCGCTGCACCGGCATAAAATCCACACAGCAATTTTCCGCCAGGTGTTCGGCTTAGGGAAGGCTCCTGGTGCTCCCACCAACCTAGAGTGCGAGTCTGCTGGGTGTGGCGCCATTGCTGTTCAGTGGGACCCGCCAGCCAATCCCGGCGTGCCACCTGTCCACAAGTACCTTATCCAGAGACGCGTCGCAACGCGCGTGGCGTCGTGGAAGGACGTGGGGGACACGTCTGAAGACGCGTGGCTAGATTCGGCAGGGTTAAAGCCAGGGACTGAGTACACGTATCGGATACAGGCGTGGGGCGGGCATGGGCCTTCGGAGTGGGTGGTGCTTGATCATTGTAGAGCGTTAGCTACTGGCGCGGATGGGGTTGCTTGCATTATGGGCGTGCATCCGCCTCAGCAGCAGCACCACCACCAGCATCATCAGCAGCATCACTCTTTGAAGCCTCCAGTTATGGAGCCTCTTGGGAGACCCATAGCAGCAGGAGCAGAGGGGCACAGCCACGCGCATGCATCAGATATAGTTGCCGTTACTGGAGCGGAGAAGGAGGAGGGTTGGGGTGGGTCGTGGCAGAAACGGTTGGAGTCGGTTGGGGGCACGGAGTACGTTCTAACTGCTTCAACCGTTCCAGGGCCAGGAGCAGTACCAGTGGAGGCAGTAGGAGGAGCGAGAGCAGGGGTAGACGGGCAGCAGGGCGGCAGGCACGGAGCGGTGGAGTCGGCAGAGCAAAGCGCGAAGGAGGTAGGGCAGGAGGCGGAGAGGCAGGGGGAAGCGGGTTCGTCTTCCCCCCTCTGGAGCTTCATCTGGTCGGTCAATGGCGGGATTCTCGTGCTCGGGATTTTCTCCCGCCATAGCTTCTTCTTCCGTTTCGTCCTCGCAGCTGCCGCCTCCGCGCACCGCCTCCTCCGCCCCCTCGCCTCCGCGCTCTCCCCCTCCCCCGCCAGCCCCTTCCTCCTCGTCCGCGCCGCCGCGCGCGCCGTTCTGGGCTTCCGCGCGGCGTCTGCGCGCGTCTCTGCGCTACTGCACCGCGTGATCACTGTGCTGGTATCGCCTGGGGACGATGAGGGCGGGGAGGATTATGAGATAAGTCCGTTTTTCAGTGGCAGCAGAGCCGCAAGAAGGTGGTCTGACGGGTTGGGGGACCAGGCGGACGGGGGACTAGGAGCGGGTGAAGGAAATGCGTTGGGGGAAGCGGGGGAGGCAGGGGGGCGGGGGGTTAGAGGGGGGTGGGGTGGCGGTGGGGGGGAGAGTTTGGCTGCAGGGGGAGGGATGGGCGGAGGGCAGGGGATGAGGCGTGTGGCTCGGAACAGGTCGTACGATGAGCTTTCCGGGCGGCAGGAAGGGGAGGCGTCGTTTGGCAGTAGCGAAGGGGGAATGCCGCGGAATGGGCTGCTGGCTAGGGGCGGGCACGAGGGGGGAAGGGAGGCAGGCGGAAGGGCTTATCGTGCGGGTGAGTGGGAAGGGGAGGAAGGGGAGGGAGGCGGGTGGGGGGAGAGCGGGCGGGTTCAGGAGGCGGCATCAGATGAGGATACGGAATCAATGAAGTCTGTTAGCTTCAAGTACAGGTGCAACGCGGAAGGCTGCCGCGTGCGCTTTGATCGCTGGTACACTCTTGACGGGCTTAGGCACAGCATTCTGAAGCACTACTGTCGTGAGTGCCAGGGCGTGTACTGTGTTCGCCACACGCGCATCTCCCCCCACTCCTCCCGCACCCAGTGCGGCCTCGACAGCCACTGCCTCTGCTTCTCCTGCTACGCGCGCCTCCCTGCGGAGCTCCAGCTTCGGGCCGAACGTATCAACAAGCTTCGGGTGGGCCCGGTGGCTGGGAGTGGGAGCAGTGGCAGCGCCAGCTTAGGGAATAGCTTCGGAGGCAGCGGAGGGGGCGGAGGGGGGCGGAACGCTGGGGGGAAGAACGGAGAGGGGGTTTCAAATGGCAGTGGCAATAGCAACAGTTTTAGCAGTTCGGGTAATGGCAGCAGTGGGAATGGCAGCAGTGCTCGTGCTAGTGGCAATGGGGATGGAGGGAAAGGAGTGGGAGGGAAGATTTCCCCTTCTAGCAGTTGGATGACTTTGTTGGGGCGCCGCAATAATGACAAGCGCGGTGGGATGGACAAGGGCGGCAGGGAGAGGCATGTGGGTGGGTCGTTGGTGGAGAGTGCGAGCACGTCGGGCTCGGAGGAGTCTCAAGGCACAGGTGCAGGCGGAGGGGTGGCAGGGGCAGCAGGAGGGGCAGGAGGGACAGGGAGAACAGCGGAGGCAGGGGAAGCAGTGTCTGGTTCTGGCTTAGCAGCGGCAGCAGAAGCAGCAGGGGAGGAGCAGGATACTGACATGGTAGAGTTGTCACTGGCAGGAGGTGAGGCAGCACTTACCCTGACCTCTCCCCGACCTCTTACCCAGACAGGGAGCCTTAAAGAGAGGAGGAGAGGGGTGGGCGGGATCGCAGGGGGAGGGATGGTTATGAAAAAATCGCTTTCATTGGCTGCTGGTGGGGGAGGGGTCAATGGGGCTGGTGCTGACAGGACCATGCAGGGAGATAAGTGGAGGAAGGATAGCTTGCAGCAGCAGCAGCAGCAGCAGCAGCAAGAGCAGCAGATACAGCTGCAACAACAGCAACAACAAGAGCTGAAGCAGGAGCAGCAGCAGGCCCCAGCGCTGTTCTTTGTGGGCTCTGCAGCAGACCTCCTGCCCGCTGCCTCTCCCACCTCTCCAGACCCTTCCAATGGCAGCAGCAGGGCCACAAGCGAACCAGACATGGGGGCTCCTATCAAAAGACCTGGGGCAGCTTCCGGTGTAGCTGATATAGGGACTAGCCTGCAGGAGAGCCAGGATTTTAGGTCTGGGAGCAGCACGCTACCAAACACACATGGTGAAGCACTGGCATGCCGGACTGGAAAAGGCCCCTTGCCCCGGTCTGCTGTGTCTGACCCTACAGGATCTTGCTTGACGTCTGCTCCTCGTCCTGCTTGTAGTCTGGAGGCAATACCCTCTTGCAGTGAGTCGGTAACAGAAGCAGGAGAATCAACAGGAAATGCTGGTGGAGTCGCAGCAGCGGGTGCTAGATCTGTCAAGTTGGAAGCAGCTGGTTCACCGGGGGAGGGAGGAGGGAAGCAAGGCGAGGCCAATGGAAACAGTGGTATCGACTGGGGGCGACTAGAACGCTGCCCCAGCCACCTCTCCCGCTCCCGCTCCTCCCGCTCCGCGGATGAGGTGAAGCGGTCCCCATCTCCTTTCTCCAAGGCGCTGTCTCCTTATAACGAGTTGCCTTCTGAAGGGGTGCAGATGGGGAGCCGAGGACGGGGAGGTGGGACAGGGGGGGGGAGTAACTGGTTCTGGTGGTACCGGCATGGGGGGCATAGGCATGGGCATGGGCACGGGCACAGTCATAGGGAGGAGCTGAAAGGGTCTATGTCTCCAGCTCTTGCCTTCTCAGGGATGTTCACTAGTAAACGGAAGTTGAAGGAAGGTGGGGGTAAGAGCACATTGGGTTCGGACAGAGGGAGGGGGGAAGGAGAGAGAGGGGGACAGGATGGAGAGGCTGAGGGGAGTGGTGGGTCAAGAGGAGAGGGGATAGAGCGAAGGCATACGGTGGAGGCTGGGGAGGTTATGGGGTGGAGAGTGGTGGAAAGTGAATCAAGAAGAGGTAGGTACTTTGCTTCTTCGCCTGCACAGTTGTTGCCACAGGGTAAATCACCCTCACCGCCATCACCCACACTTCAATATGCTGCTTACAGTGGCTCTGAGAGTGAAAGAAACTGGAAGAACCAGGGAAGCAGATCGGAAGGGAAGTTGGGTAAGGCTGGACCTAGAGAAAGCATCCCCGAGCAAGAAGAGGAGCAGCAGTTTGTGTTGCTCGGTGGAAGAGCGCAAGGGGAGAAGGAGAAGAGTGGTAAACATTCTCAAGGGAGGTTTGCTCTTCCAAAGAAGAAGAGCCTTCTTCACAGGTCCTGGGATGCAAGTAGCAAGACAGAAAACAAGCAGACGTAAGTTACTTGCTTGATACAAAATCCTCCTTCATGATTGAGGTGGAATGTATTGCTGAATGTAATCATAGCTAAAATAATAAATGCGCCATGCATGTAGGTTAAATCAGAAAGACGACCTAATGCATGTTCAGAGAAGTATAGAAATGCATTTGGTAGGTGTAGCGGTGAGGTGAACCCCTTCACAGAGAAGCTTCTTCGCACCACGAGTGGATCGATGTCCCCCCAAAGATCGCTCCCTCTTCCACCATTGGTCGTACCCCGCGCCTCCCTCCGCCAATCACCTCCCGAGCCCCGCAAATCCCCCGCAGTGCTGTCGAGAGGGCGCCAATTACCGCCTCGTTCTCTACGCCTCAGCTTCCGCCCAGCTCCCTCCTTCCCATGCCGTCAGCCATGGCAAACTGCATTGCATGTTTGATTTGAGCTGCCCATGCAGGCAAGCCAATACAAACGGGCAGATGCAGCTCAGCGCATTCCCAAGGTTTGTTCCAGTTCCCAGCCTGACTACAGAGTAGTCCAATCTCCACTGACAGTGTGTTTCACTTCACTCCCCTCCCTCATGACTGCCTGCCTAATCCTTTCCTGATTTCAATCACCGCTTATAACAACGTGATTGCAGCGGTTTAGTCGTACTTCTCACACGCCGTGCGAGTCAAAGCAGCAGCAGGCGAAGTGTGGTGCAGCACGCGGGTCGAGTCGGTAACATGCTTCGACCTAAGTTTTTCTTTACGGTTTATAAGAGCATTCGCGCCGTGATAGCAGCCAGCGGGTCGCAAGCTCCTAGGCCGCCGTTAAGCGACTCGCAGTCGTCGCAATCCTTATCTATTTCCTCGCACACACCATCGTTAGAGTCGCCCTCACCTGCGAATTCGTCGCAACCGCCGTCGCAACCACAATCGTCGCCACAACCACCGCCACAACCGCAATCCTCATGTGCTCCCGCCGTTCAATCCGGTGTGAGCGAGCCTCCTTACGAGGCGCCTCAAGACCCTAGCTGGTCGTACGCGCTATACAGTGCTCCGAATGCTGGGCCTTGCGGCCCCGGGAACGCCGAGCAGGAATGTGCAGCGGCCCTGGGAGCTCCAGTTACAGGGTTACCACAGAACGAGGTTGCGAATAAAACATTGCAGGATCAGCAGATTGTGAGGAACTCGCGCGAGCAGCAACCGCAGCAGACGCAGCAGGCGCAACGAGTGCATCAGACACAACAGGAACAGCAGCGTAGCTTGCTCTTAGCACGGCAGAGAACGCCATTCCTAGCAGCAATGGCGGCCGAAAGCGCAGCTATTGGAGAAGCGCCAGCAGCGGCGCTTGTAGGGCCAACAGCGGCCGCTATTGGCGGTAGTATAACCCCCCATCAGACCTCACACCTTGCCTCCTCTCACAATGCCTCCCCTCACCATTCCCCCTCCACCTCCTCTGCCTTTCTTTCGCCCTTTGTGTCCCTCGCCTCCACGTTCAAGAAGCTCTTTAAGCGCCGCTCACTGCCCGAACCTGCGTTGCAACCTCGGCAACATGACGCGGCCGGCTTGGTGCTCGAGGCTACCCAGCAGGCTGTTACCGAACTTGCCGCCGAGTCAAAATCGCGAAGAGGAATGTTCAGCCAAATCAGCAGCGCTGCGGGCAATTTTTTTAGCCAGCCGCCCAAATCGCACTATCTCTCTTCCAGCCTGGCAGATGCGACAGGCACTGCCGGCCGGAGGCCGCATGTGGGGGTGGCGGACGGGGGGCTGGCGGAACGTGCGGGAATGCAGCAAATGGCGGATAGAGTCGTGGAGAGGTTAGAGGGGAGGGTGATGAACAGGGTGGCGTCAAGAGGAGAGGAGAGGGCAAGAGGGGAGGAGAGCGCAGATTTTGAGTTCCGCATGGAGGATGTGGTGCTGGACAGTGGCATTCGGGACTTGGGACGTGAGCGGGGGAAGGGGTGGGGCGGGGCGGAGAGAAGAGTGGAGGTGGCGAAGAAAGGGCGAGGGCAGTGGCGAAGGAGTGGGAGCAGCGGCTCTTTAACTAGTTCTAGTCGTGCTAGTGGTGCTGCTGGTGGTGGTGGTGGAGGTGGAGGTGATGTTGCGTACGCTGGTGGAGGTGGTGGTTTTGTTTCTACCGCTGGTGCCGGTGGTGCCGGTGTCGGCAATGCAGTTTATCGTGCTCGCACGCTCAGCTTTTATGCAGCCCCGCCAACGCCTGCTTCAGGTGCTGCTTCAGGTACTGCCTCAGGTGCTGCCTCAGGTGTTGCCTCAGCACCAGGTGCTGCGTCAGGTTCAGCTGGGGCAGGAGTTGCGCCACGATCTCCGCTCCAGCAGGGTCACAGGGGGGGATATGGGCAGCACAGGCAGCAGACGCAACGGGGAATGGCGCAGCAGGGGTTGGCGCAGCAGGGAATGGGAGTGGCGCAGCAGGGCATGGCGCAGGTGCAGGGGTCTGGGGGCGTGAGTCATGTGTGGCGGCCGGAGAAACACATTCCAAGGGGTGCTGTGCCAGCGCCACGTGTACCAGCGCCACGTGTACCACCACATGTCTCAGCGCCACGTGTGCCACCACATGTCTCAGCGCCACGTGTACCATCACATTTCCCAGCGTCAGATGTACCAGCGTCATCAAAAGCACCAGCACCAATTGCAGCAGTAGCACCTGTCGCTCAGGGCATGGCTGTTGCTGCTGTTGCCCCAATCCAAGTCCATACCCCTGCTGCTGCTACTGCTGCTGCCCCTGTGTCTCGCGCTGCTGCCGGCGCTGCAGCAGCAAGAGCAGCGGGGTTGAGGGGGAAGAGGGAGGCGAGCAGGGAGAAGGACCGGCACATGGTGGCTTTCCTTCTCAACATGCTCACATCGCTCCAACCTTCCCCGCCCTCTGCAACCCCGGCTTCTCCCTTCACCTCCCCCATGCCCTCTGCTCCGGCCTTCGCCCATCCTCTCCCGGCCAGTAACCCTGCTTCCTCCTCTCTCCCTCCTTCTCATCCTGCCGTCTCCCCCACTCACCTGGGGGTGAGTGCCGGGCGGTTGAGCATGGAGGAGATGTTAGCACGGCTGCAGCAGCAGTGGCAGGCGCACCGAGCAGGCACCACCGGAACCAGCAAAAACGGCAAGAAAAAGAGCAAAAAGAGGGCCGGAGCAGCAGCAGCAGGGGAGAGCAGCAGAAACGGACAAGAAGAGCCAGTAGGCGTGCCTACAGGGAGCAATCCGGGCAGGAGCCTGGGGAGCGTGAGGGCGTTTCACGTGTCTGAGGCGCTGAAGAACCTCTGGGACGCTGATGCGGGTCTGGCGTTGTTCCGGTGGGCCAAGGACGTGCAGGGAGTGAAGCCGGACGTTTACGTCTACTCCACGCTCTTCGGGCTGCTGGGAAGGGGGAGGGACGCGGCGAATCTGGCAAGGGTGGTGGAGGAGATGAGGGAGGACGGGTGTGAGCACAATGCGGTCACGCTGCAGTCGCTGGCGACGGCGTATGGGCGCGCAGGGAGGTGGGAAGAGGCGCTTGCGACGCTGGGAGCGATGAAGGGTGGTGGTGCGGGGCAGAGCGTTCCGCATGACCTCACTCTCATTGGGTGAGTGCTTGGCCTGTCGTGTCCGACTCTTGAGATGTTACAAAGGCGGTCGGGCCGATGCAGGGTGGTGGTGAGAGGAGCGTTACGCATGACCTCACTCTGATTGGGTGAGTGTTTGGTTTGACGTGCTGACTGTGAGCGCGTGCCGACTGTGAGCGCGTGCCGACTGTGAGCGCGTGCCGTTGCTCCTTCTCCCATTTTTGAGTCGACGCAAGAGTTTTGAGTCAACCCCCCTTGTGTCTCCGCTCTCCCCTCAGTCCCCAAGTGGACGCGCTCTTCCGAATGGGCCGCTACAGCGACGCCATCAAAGCCTTCACCGAGCTGCGCAGTGCCGGGCACGTGCCCGACTCGTTCGTCTACAACACAGTGCTCACCTGCTACGGCCGCGTGGGGAACTCCGCGGGTGCTGAGGAGGCGTTTAAGGATATGATTCGCCATGGCGTGGCGCTGGATGTGCGGTGCGCGAATAGCCTCATGGATGCGTATGGACGCACGGGGCGGGTCGATGATGCCATGGCTGTGTTTGACCGCATGTGCCTCGCTGCTGTTGCTGCTGGTGGGGCGAGTCACATGAAAGGAGGTGGAGGAGGAGGATTGGCAAGGGAAAGGGGAGGGAACCGCAGCAATGCTCACTTGCCTGGTGCTGCTGTTGTAGCAGGGATACCCCCATTGAATCCCCACATTGCTGCTGACAATGCATCCACGTTACAAGGGCCAGCAGCACGAGCTGTATGCACCAGCGCAGCTGCAGAAGCAGTATCCATCGCACCAGCACCACACTCCACCACTGCCACCACCGGCACTGTCACCAGCATTCCCATTTCCCGTGCCTTTGCATGGCCGGCACCGGATCAGATCACGTACAGCTGCGCCATCCACCTTCTCAGCATGGCCGGGCGGCTGACAGAAGCCGAGGAGACCTTCGAGGCGATGCTTGTAGCGGGCATGCGTCCGGACAGCATCACATGGTCCACCATGGTGCAGATGTGGGCCAAGGAGGCGAATCCGGAGCGGGCGGTGATGTGGTTTAAACGTATGGTGGCGGCGGGGTGCCGGCCGGAAACCCCGGCGTACAACTCACTCATGTGGGCGTTTGTGGGTCGGGGAATGTTTGACGAAGCGGGGGAGGTGCTGGGTGCGCTGAAACATGGGTGGGACCTGGTGGGGCAGGCAGAGAAGCTGGTAGGGCGAGGGGATAACCTGATGGGGCGAGGAGAGGAGGAGCAGGAGGCGACGCAAGGCGGGTCGGGCAAGTCGGTTTTCGGGTGGCTGAACTCAAGTGGAGAAGGAGAATTAGGCCCGGGAAACGCCAACAAGGGTGCTGCCGGTGCCGTTTCACCACAAAGTAAACCGGGAGTTGCGAAGCTTGAGCTGGCTCCGAACCTCATGACCTACACCATGTTTCTGAGCGAGTGCACGGAGTCTGCCGCCTGCAGTGACGTGGCACGGCTGCTGCGGCTGATGGAAGAGACAGAGCATGCCGCCCACGCGGTGTTTGAACTGCTTACGGAGGAGCCTTTTGAATCCACCCACACACTGCTGCCGGCAGGTGCTGAGAGTGACAGTGAGAGTGCTCCTCTGAGTGGTGCTATGTGTGAAGCAGCGAGTGCTGCTGGGTATGAATCTCGTGATGGGGAAACGAGAAGGTGTGAGGGAGAGAGTGAGGGAGGAGGGTGCGAGGAAGTGGGGTGGGGCGCTGTCTGTGGAATGATAGAGAGGGGGCTGGTGGAAGTGGAGGTGAGGGGGGTGGTGGGGGAGTGGGAGGAGGAGAGGTGGCGGGAGGTAGAGAGGAGGATGAGAGGGAGTACGTTCAGTGAGTCGAATGCGGAGTCCCAACGCGCCTTTGCTGATGCCTGCGTTGCCTTCTTGCACAAATTTGGGCGGCACGAGCGGGCAGCCCGCATGTGGGACCTCTGCCACACGCGGCTAAGGCTGTACCCTTGCAGCATACAGCTGCCCGCAATATCTGGGCAGGGCGGAGAATGCTTTGTGGACCTGCACGGCATGTCAGCGGGGACAGCAGTGACGGTGACCAAGTGGGCGTTGGAGAAGATGCGGCAGGCTGTGGTGGCCTCCGCTGCTTCAGGTGCTTCTGCTGCCTCAGCTGCTGCAGGTGATGCTTCAGGCGCTGCTGCAGGTGCTTCTGCTGCTTCGTCCTCTGTTGCGTCAACCATTGCTATTTTATCAACTGCTGCCAATCCAACAGCAAGTGGAGAAACTGCTGTAGGGGCAATACAAGGAGAAGAAGCACTTGTAGAATCCTTATCACCATCAGAATCAGGAGCAGCAGAATCATCGCATCTGCATGAATCACCACCAGCACATCCCTTGCAATGGCGGAGGCCGTCCAAGGTAGCGGTGGTGACGGGGTGGGGCAAGCGCAGCCGGGTGCAGGGGGCGTCGCTGGTGAAGGCGGCGGTGGAGGCGCTGCTGCTGAGGGACCTCACAGCGCCCTTCTCCCTCCACCGCTTCCACCCCGGCTCCTACGAGGCCCCCGGTGCTGACCTCGAGCACTGGCTGCTCATGCCAGGTGTTGATCAATTATTGGCTCCCCGAGATGAGGGCTGAGAGGAGCTAAAAAACAGTTGGCCAATCTGCAAGCTTGCCTCTCCCAGATCCCCCATCGATCACCGTAATGCAGTAAATAATCGGCGTGTCCCGGCCCGGCCCTGTACCGGAGTCTCGAATCAGATCGGAAGGCTCGAGTGCTCCTTGTGAGAGCAAGATTCCATTCTCAACTGACCTGATGCCACTGTTGTAGCTGGAAGGGATGATGGTGGAACATTGGAAAGGGCACAAGGAAAATGCCTTGCTGCCCATAGGGTGTTTGTATTGCGGGGGGGTTTATAAAAGAAAGCCCTTTTGTGTATTGTCGATCTTATGTGGAAAGCTCAGCTTGTGGTTGTAACAGTTGCACGTATCTCCCATGTTTGGTCGCTGATCTTCAGGCGTCTATTTTCGCACTTGCGTTGGCCATAGACAAACCTTCATGGTGGCGGTGCGAGTCCAGTCGATGCAGCAGCGCATCAGGGTTCCTGCCGCAGGGCTGGTAGGCTGGTAGCATGCTTCGGCCTAGGTTCCTATTCACGGTTCGTAAGAGCGTTCGAGCAGTCTTAGCGGCCACCGGATCACGCGATCCTGAACCGTCCTTGACCGACGCTTACCCGTCGCAACCGGTATCTATTCCGTCGCACCTGTCGTCGCTTGATCTTGCCTCTCCTGCGAATTCGTCGCACGCACGGCTTCCGTCGCCTTCGCCGTCGCACTGTCCGTCGCAGCGGCAATCGCAAGCGGCTTGCACCGAGCAACACGGTGCTCGCAATCTTCGCTTTGAGGGGTCCAAACTCATTGTTCGGCGGCCATACGCGGTAGAGAGCGCTTCGAATGGCGGGCCTGCAGGTGCACGGGCAGCATCGGGAGCGGCAGTACCGGAGATGGCGGCAGCAGAGGCAGAGAAGTGCGATGGAGGGGAGATGTCGTGGCAGAGAGGACCTTGGGATAGGGAGGGTTTTAGTGGGGATGCAGGTAGAGTGCCGGGCGGGAGGGGAAGAGGGAGAGGGAGAGGAGGGAGGGGAGGCAGAGGCGGCATGGGATGGCAAGCATTGGAAAGAGCGTTGAGGGAGAACGAAAAGGATGAGATATTACCTCAGGGACGGGATGTATCAGCAGCTGCTGCTGTAGGGGGGGTGACGGAGAGGAGCGGTAGGAGAGAGGCACAGCGGGAGAGGGACAGCACCTTGGTATCTGTCATTCTCAACATGCTCAGGGCCATTCAGCCGCCTCCCCCTCCCACTGCTCCCACTGGTCCCACTGGCGCTCGAGTGATGGCGGTGCAACGGAAGGGCAGAAGGGGAAGAATGGGCGTGGATGAGATGGTGGTGCTGCTGCAGCAGCAGTGGCAGAACTGGCTGGCTCGCAGCAGCAGCAGCAGCAGCGCCCGTCGCAGACACGCGACGAGGAGAAGCAGAAGCAGCAAGATCTGGGACGAGGAGGGCGTGGTTATCGGAAATACTCACTGGGACGAGGAGACCACAGGCACCGGCACCGGCAGCAGCAGTCACCGTGGAGTGCCTTTCCAGGCAGTGCTTAGGCCGCAAGGGAGAAGGGTGACGGCGTATCACGTGAGCGAGGTGCTCAAGGCTGTGTGGGACGCTGACGCGGGGCTGGCGTTGTTCCGGTGGGCCAAGGACGTGCAGGGAGTGACGCCCGACGCGCATGTGTACTCAAGCCTCTTTGGGCTGCTGGGGCGATTGAAGAGCGCTGAGGGACTGGAGGGGTTGGAGGGGGAGATGAAGGAGGACGGGTGCGGGGAGAACGTGATCACGCTGCAGGCCCTTGCTGCTGCGTACTCGCGTGCGGGGAAATCTGAGGAGGCACTTGCGACATTGGATGAGATAGAGGAGAAGGATGATTCACTTAGCCCATTCTCATTCGGGTATGTAAAAGGGCTGTCTGTGAGATGTCCTAGCTGCTTGCAACGTACCTTCCCTACCCCACCAGATTGGATACACTCAATTGTCCTGCCTCTTCGATAATGAGGCGCCTCAGAAACATCCTCTTTCTCTTCCTGCCCTCCCATCCAAAGCGTGCGAGTGGATGTGCTATACCGCATGGGGCGCTACCGGGACGGGATCGGTGCCTTCCACATGATTGGCACCAACTCTAAGGCCCCTCACAACTCCCTTCCCTCCCATTCCAACCACAGCGTGCGAGTGGATGTGCTATACCGCATGGGCCGCTACCGGGACGTGATCAAGACGTTCCACATAATGCGGGAGGCAGGCTATGCCCCCGACGCGTTCGTCTACAGCACCGTGCTCACGTGCTACGGCCGCCTGGGGAACGTCGTCGGAGCAGAGCTGGCGTTCAGAGAGATGCTGTCCCAGGGGATGCCCCTCAGTGTGTTCTGCGCCAACAGCCTCATGGATGGGTATGGGCGCGCAGGGCGGGTGGATGATGCCATGGCTGTGTTTGACCGCATGTGCCTCGCTGCTGTTGCTGCTAGGGGTGGTGAAGGGAGAGAAGGTGATCAGGAGGGGGTGCCTGGTGCTGCTGCTGGTGCTGGTGCTGCTGCTGTAGCTGCTGCTGCTGCTGCTGATGCGTCTGGGAGGGCTTTTCTGAACGCCTCGGGTGGCTTGAGAGTTCCTGCTTCGTCACCTGTAGCTGCAACAGCAGCAGGAGCGAGAGCTACGTGCACGAACGCTGCTGCTCAAGTGGTGACAGCTGCACCAGCACCCCATCCCGCTGCTGCCTCCACCTCCTCTCGTTCCCCTCCGTCCATCTGGCCCGGCCCTGACATAAGCACGTACAGCCTGGCAATCCACCTCCTCAGCACGGCAGGCAGGTTGTCCGAAGCAGAAGCGACGTTTGAAGCGATGATGGTGGCGGGCATAGAACCGGACATAGTAGCATGGTCCACCATGGTGCAGATGTGGGCCAAGGAGGCGAATCCTGAGCGAGCAGCGATGTGGTTTAAACGTATGGCGCTGGCGGGTTGCCGGCCGGAAACCCCGGCGTACAACTCACTTATCTGGGCGTTTGTGAGCCGTGGAATGTTTGACGAAGCTGGGGAGGTGCTGAGTGCTCTCAAACATGGGTGGGACCTGGTGGGGCTAGGGGAGGAGCAAAATGAGATGCAGACCAGTTCTGGATTTTTGGAGCCTGAAGAAGCTGGCCGGATGATGCAAACAAGCGGGAGTGAAGGCATTGCAGAGATGGCAGATACGGCATTCAATCCGGCGCCTGGCCGTGCCCCCAACCTGATGACTTACACCATGTTTCTGAGCGCATGCACCGTGTCGAACGACCGCAGCGAGGTGATGCAGCTGATGCGCCTCATGCTCGCCACAGAGCATCCCGCTCATGCTATCTTCCAACTGCTTACGGAGGATTCCTTTGGTCTGACTCCCGAGATGGTTGGGAATGTTGGGAATGGCATGAAGGGTGATGATGGGACGTGGGAAGAAAGGGAAACGGAAATTGTTGAGATTAGAAGGGGTGAGAGGGCAAGGAAGGAGGGTGGTGATTGGGAAGAGGGGAGGGAAGGAGTTGGAGGGGTAACGGTGAGGGGATTGTGGGAGAAGTGTGAGGAGTGGTGGAATGGGGTGGTGAGTGGGGAGGCAGGGAGTGGTCTGGAGGGTGAAAGTTCGAGACTAGCAAGGACAGGGGAACACGGTGACACGAGGAGATGGTGTGAGGTAGAAAGTGAGGAGGGTAGTGATAGAGAGGTGGGGAGGTGCGCAATCGCAGGGGTGCTGGAGAGGGGATTGGTTGAGATGGAGGTGAGAGAAGTGTGGAGGGAGTGTGAGGAGGAGCGGTGGAGGGAGATAGAGAGGAGGATGAGGGAAGATTCGTTTAGCAAGGCGGATATGGAGTGCCAGCGTGCCTTTGCTGACTCATCCATCTCCTTCTTGCATAAATTTGGGCGGCACGATCGGGCAGCCCGCATGTGGGACCTGTGTTACACGCAGCTGCAGCTGTACCCTAACAGTGTTCGGCTGCCCGCAATTTACGGGCGGCATGGAAGATGTTCCGTGGATCTACATGGCATGTCAGCAGGCACAGCGGTGACAGTGACCCGGTGGGCGTTGGAGAAGATGCGGCAGGCTGTTGTAGCCTCTGCTGCTTCAGGTGCTGCTTCAGGCGATTCTTCAGGTGCTTTCGATTTATCACTTGGAGTATCAGGAGAAACTGAATTCTTATCAGGGGCAGCGGATTCAGAAGAGGAATCAGAGGATGATGAAGAGGGATGCGCACCAGGTAATCAGGAGCCAGCAGAAGAATCTACAGGCGAACCTCGGCTGACATGGCGGCGGCCGGGGAAGGTGGAGGTGGTGACGGGGTGGGGCAAGCGCAGCCGGGTGCAGGGGGCGTCGCTGGTGAAGGCAGCGGTGGAGGCGCTGCTGCTGAGGGACCTCACAGCGCCCTTCTCCCTCCACCGCTTCCACCCCGGCTCCTATGAGGCCCTCGGCGCTGACCTTGAGCAATGGCTGCTCACGCTAGGTGTCGACCAGCCACTGGCTCCCCGAGACCAGGATTGATACTGGGCCCATATCAGCTACAGTAGCAACATGTAGGAGTGCTCTAGGTGCATTGCAGCAGCACCAACCTCACATGGTGTTTTGTAGAATGAATGCACACACCAACGACCTTGATCACCACTAGATCATACTATCGCATGTGCTCTACTGCACCTCCGATCGAACTGCTAGTAGCTGAAGCTGACTCATGTGGAACTTGCATTATGGCAATCTAAATTTGTGGAAAGCTGAACGTGCGATGGGTTTACACAAATTGGGATGTTGTGTTTTTGTTTAAACAATTGGGTGTACTAGTTTCTCACCAGTTTTCTTGATGCTTCTTGATCCAGACTCGCTGTTGCGAATTCTTGCTCACTACATTAGGTGGCGGGAGGCGAAGCGGCACTTGATGAGAGATCGAACGTAGTGGCTAGTGGCTAGCATGTCTCGACCTAGGTTCGTCTTCACGGTCCGTAAGAGCGTTCAAGCCGCCATAGAGGTTAACGAGTCACGCGGTCCTAAGCCGTCCATAACCGACGTTTACTCGTCACATCTCTTATCTAATCCTTCGCACCAGCCGTCGCTTGGTCTGCCTTCTCTTGCGAATTCGTCGCACGCAAGGCATCCGTCGTCATCGCCGTCGCACTGTCTGTCGCAACGGAAAGCGCAAGCAGCTTGCACCAGTCACCACGGTCCCGGCGATCCTCGTTTTGAGGCGTCTCGACACACTACTAGATGGCCATACGCGGTAGACCGTGCTTCGGAGCGTCGTCTTTGCTTCGCAGCAGCAGCGGCAGCAGCAGCACCATCGACCACACCATCGACCACACCAGCGACAGCAGCAGCAACGGCAGCAGCAGGCTCACCTGCTTCTGGACGGGTGACGGCAGCAGTGGCGCCCCTGGCACCCGCGCATCCATCCCTTCCTGCCGCACAGGCAGCACCATCAGCAGCAGCACCGTCAGCAGCAGCACCGTCAAGAGCTGCAGCAGCAACGGGCGAAGAGTGGGATGTTGAGGAGAACAATTGGGAACAGCATTCTTGGCCTGAGAAGGTTCGAACTGGTGGCGCACACAGAGAACAGGCGGGACGATGGGTAGAGAGAAGGGGAGTAGGGGGGAGAGGAGGGAGATCAGGGGAGAGACGAGCAGCAGGTGCTGCAGCAGCGAATGGGGAATGGGACAGGAGAATGGTGGCGTTCCTTCTCAGCATGTGCACATCTCTCCACCCTGCTCCACCCTCCGCAGCTTCTTCCTGTTCCGCCCCCTCTGCCTCCACCTTTCCTGTCCCTGGTCCCTCGTCTCCTCCTTCAATCCCCCCTACTGGTCCAGCGAGGGGTGGGCGAATGAGTAGAGAGGAGATGGTGGCGCTGCTGCAGCAGCATGGAGCTGCTGAGTAGTGGCAGCCGCAGGTTCGGGGCAGTGCGCGAAAGCAGCAAGGAAGGGGAAGGGCGTTGGAAACTCAGATTACAAAATGACATGAGCAGCACGGGGGTGGCCAAGCTGAAGCCGTATCATGTGAGCGAAGTGCTGAGAACACTGTTTGACGCTGACGTCGGTCTGGCGTTGTTCCGGTGGGCCAAGGACGTGCAGGGAGTGAAGCGGGACGAATTTGTGTACTCTGCCCTCTTTGGACTGCTGGGGCGGGGGAAGGATGCTGCAGGGCTGGCGAGGGCGGTGGAGGAGATGAGAGAGGACGGGTGCAGCGAAAATGAATTCACGCTGCAGGCACTCGCTGCTGCGTACGCTCGTGCTGGCAGGTTTGAGGAGGCTCTTGCGACGCTGGCGGCTTTGGAGCATGGGGGATTTTCAGATAGTCGTCCGTCTACTGCTGGGTAGGTCTCTCTGGGCTCCCTTACCCGCTCCTCTCGCTATTTCCTACTCTGAAAATGAAATTTCCCACTTTTTTTGCTCACCTCCCTTCTAGCTCCTCTCGTGTCTCTCTCTTCTCGTTCCTCCACACCACGCCCCACGGCCACTCCTCTCCCGGCTTTCCTCAGGGCTCGAGTGGACGTGCTATTCCGCATGGGCCGGTACCGCGATGTGATCAAGGCGTTCAATGCGACGCGGAGGGCAGGAGAAACACCCGACGAGTTCATTTACAATGTTGTCATCGCCTGCCACGGCCGCCTCAACAACAGCGTTGCAGCTGAGGCCGTGTTCAAGGAGATGATATCACGGGGAATGGTGCCCAGTGTAAGCTCTGTGAATACTCTCATGGAAGGGTATGGCTCGGTTGGCCGGATTGACGACGCGATGGCAGTTTTTGACCGCATGTGCCTGGCTGCTGTTGCTGCTCGGACAAATCAGGGGGGAGGAGAAGGAGGATGGCAGAAGGGTGAAGGAAACACAAGGGAAGGGGGTGGGACAGGCAGCTGTGCGCAAGTGCCGACTGCTTCTCCTGAAGTGTCTCGAAATTCAAGTGCCGTACGTCCTCCTCCGTCCATTTGGCCGGCCCCGGACATGATCACCTACAGGAGTGCACTGAACCTGCTGGGCATAGCTGGGCGGCTGTCAGAAGCAGAGGCCACGTTTGAGGCGATGCTGGTGGCTGGAATGCACCCAGACGCCATGGCTTGGTCCACCTTGGTGCTGATGTGGGCCAGAGAGAGCAACCCCGAGCGCGCCGCCATGTGGTTCGACCGCATGCTGCTCTCCGGGTGTCAGCCCAATGCGGCGGCGTACAATGCGCTCCTGCTCGCGTTTGTGAGTGCGGAGATGTTTGACGAAGCAGAGGAGGTGCTCTCTGCGTTCAAAAACGGGTGGGATGTAGTGGGGCGGGTGGGGATAACGCCAGGAGGAGAAAAGCACACTAATCTCAGCAAACACAAGCCAGAAAAAGTCCCATGTTCCACAGGCGAAACCATGGGTGGTCATGGTTACGTCAGGCCAGGCCGGGCTTTGAACCTGGTGCGAGGGAAGGTGCTCAACCTGCCTGTTGGCGAGCGTCCTGACTTGATGACCTACACCATGCTGCTGAATGCTTGCACCACCTGCACTGCTCGCAGCGGTGTGGGCCGGTTGATGCGGCTGATGGAAGAGACGGAGCATCCCGCCCACTCCGTGTTCCAGCTGCTCTTGGAGGGGTTTGAGGCGCCTCAGTCTGTGTGTCGCATGCTTATGGAGGAGGCCGTGAGTGAGGGAGTGAGTTTGGAAAGGAGTGATGGAGGAAGTGAGGGAGGAAAGGGAGAGGGTGGCTGCGGGACGACGGAGAGGGATGCTGTTGCGAGAATGATGGTGAGGGGTTTGGTGGAACAGGAGGTGAGGGAGGTGTTGGCGGAGTGGGAGGCGGAGCGGTGGCGGGAGGTAGAGAGGAGGATGAGAGGGGCTGTGTGTACCAAGGCTGATGTTCACTCCCAGCGTGGCTTTTCTGAGGCTTGCATCTCTTTCCTGCATAAATTTGGGCAACACGAACGGGCAGCTCGCATGTGGGACCTCTGCCACACGCGACTACAGCTGTTCACTAACACCGTTCGTCTGCCCGCGATTTACGGGCGGCATGGGAAATGTTTATTGGACTTACACGGCATGTCAGGAGGCACTGCAGTGACCGTGACCCGGTGGGCGTTGGAGAAGATGCGGCAGGCTGTGGTGGCCTCTGCTGCCTCAGGTGCTCCATCAGGTGCTTTTGATTCACCACTGGGAATATCAAGGGAAACAGTAGCAGGAGGAACCAATCTTATGGCAGGGGCGGTGGAACCAGAAGAGGAAGCAGAGGAGGATGAAGAGGGAGCTGCAGTTGGTGAGGTCGAGCCACCAGGATCAGCTGTGGCGCAGAAGCAGAAGCAACCACTAACAGCAGCAGCAACAGCTGGTGGTGCTGCTGGTGCTGCTGGTGGTGGTGGTGCACTATCCCGGAATGAATTACCACCCTTGCAGTGGCGGCGACCGGGGAAGGTGGAGGTGGTGACGGGGTGGGGCAAGCGCAGCCGGGTGCAGGGGGCGTTGCTGGTGAAGGCAGCGGTGGAGGCGCTGCTGCTGAGGGACCTCACAGCGCCCTTTTCCCTCCACCGCTCCCATCCCGGCTCCTATGAGGCCCTCGGCGTGGACCTTGAACAATGGCTGCTCACGCCAGGTGTCGATGAGCTACTGACTCCCCGAGACCCGGATTGATGCAGTACTGTCCATCATGTATGGTAGCATCCCTGTTTTAATTTGTTAGGTGCATTTCAGCATCAACAGTCAACAGTATGGATCCTTGCAACACTACCCCCTCAATTCTTGCAAAACACCCTTTTCAAGCAATGAAAAAATACCTGCACGAATCTTATGCTCCTCTAGTAGTTTCCCGAATCAAGCTGCTAGTAGCTTGGGCAAGTCATAGTTGGATATATCAATCAATACATGGATGCCGAGTGGGAGTTTCTACTTGCGTGTAAGGTTTGTGATCAAGCATGGTTGTAACACTTACCGGTAACTCCGCCGAGTGACCATCCTTCCCACTAGACTCTGATTCCCGCTTCACATGCTTCGGACAAGTTCCAGCACCGTCGGTGACATGCTTCGGCCTCGGTTCGTCTTCTCGGTTTGTAAGACCGTTGAAGCCGTCTTAGCTGCCAGCGGGTCTAGCGTGTCTAAACCGGCCGTAAACGACCGTTACTTGTTAGAACCCCTATCTCTTCCCTCGCACCTGTCCTCGCTTGAAGTGCCGTCGTCTGCGTCTTCGTCGCATGCACGGCTTCCGTCGCAGCCGTCACTCTTTCTGTCGCAACGGCACGTTGCTCCCACCGATCCTCGATTCGAGACGATTCGACACCCATACGCAGTTGACCGTGCCACAGATGGTTCTCCTTGCGCAGCAGCAGCAGCAGCAGCAGCAGTACCGCCATCAGCTGCTGCTGCTCCTACTAGCATCCACTCCAGAGGCTTCACGCGGAGGGCAGAGAGAGGGCGGCCCCTGGCAGCAGCAGGCGCAGCTGCTGCTGAACGGGTGACGCCAGAAGCAGCGCTGCTAGGACCCGCACGTCCATCTTCACCTGCAGCAGCAGCAGCAGCATCGGCAGCAGGAGAGACGGTTCGAGCAGCGGGAAGAGCAGATGTGTTTATTAGAGAAGCAGCAGAGGTAAGCTGGGAGAGGGACCCTTGGCCTGAGGGGGGTTGGAATGGGATGGCGAACGGAGCAGGAGGAGGGAGAAGGCAAGGGAGAAAAGGAGGAAATGGAGGTGGAGGAGGGAGAGCAGAGGGGGAGAGAGAAGCAGCAGGTGCTGCAGCAGCGAGAGCCGCAGAGGGGAGGAGGTCGGAGGCAGCCGAGAAGGAGTGGAACAGGAACATGGAGGCTTTGCTTTTCAACATGCTCGCTCCCCTCCAAACTTCCCGGCCGTCTGCGGCTCCTCCTGCTGTTCCCAGTTCTGCAGCCTCCCGTAGCGCCTCGTCCCCTGCCACCTCTTTCCCTCCTGATGTTTCCTCTGTGCAAGTCAATGTTCAAACTCAAAAGAGGGTGAGAGGCAGGCCAACGGCCATGGGTGACATGGTGGCGCTGCTGCAGCAGCAGTGGACGAACCAGCAAGAAGGCCACAGCATCAACGCCGACAGCATGAAGAGCATGAGAAGAGTCCAAGCAACAGGTTCGGTGAGCAGGAACGGGGAAGAGGAGTTGAGACGCAACTGTTCCAACAACAGCCCACATAGTGCAACCTTAATGCCGGGCCACAGCTCACTGGGTCAGGTCAGGTGACGGCCTACCACGTGACGGAGGTGCTTCGAACGCTTTGGGACGCTGACGCTGGTCTGGCGTTGTTCCGGTGGGCCAAAGACGTGCAGGGGATGAAGCCGGACACGTATGTGTACTCGAGCCTCTTTGGCCTGTTGGGTCGGGCGAGGGACGCGGCGAGTCTGAAGGGGATTTTAGAGGAGATGGAGGAGGATGGGTGCGAGCACAACGCCTTTACTTTGCAGGCGCTCGCTTCTGCTTATGCCCGTGCTGGGAGGTTTGAACATGCTCTCGCCACTCTGGCCGAGATGAAACTCCGAGGTTTCCCAGACAACACTGTTACGATTGGGTGTGTGTGTTTGTGTGTGTGCGTGCGTGCGTGTGTGCATGTGTGCTTGCGTAAATGCATGCGTGTGTGTGCATGCGCGCGCGCGTGCGTGTCTGCATGTGCACGCTCATGATGGCTGCGTCTTGTCTGCAATCCAATCTGCATGCTGCTTGCCAAAGATGCCACTGCCCACGTGCCACTGATAGTGTCCCACCACCCCTCCCACTGCCACGCACCACACTCCCTCCAGGGCTCGAGTTAACGTGCTTTATAAAATGGGTCGGTACCGTGACGTGATCAGGGCGTTCAGAGAGATGCGGGATGCAGGCCACACACTGGACAGTGTCATCTACAACACCGCAATCACATGTTATGGCCGCCTTAACAACACTCTAGGGGCTGAGATGGTGTTCAAGGAGATGATTAAGCGCAAGATGCAGCCTGATGTGCGCTGTGTCAACAGCCTCATGGATGTGTATGGTTCGGCTGGCAGGATTGATGATGCCATGGCAGTTTTTGACCGCATGTGCCTGGCTGCTGTTACTATTGGGGCAGGACAAGGGAGAGACGGAGGAGGAGGAGAAAGAGAACAAAATGGTAATGGGGGAAGGGCATGGATCAGGGGAGGGTGTAGTGGGGGTGCTGGAATACCTTGTGGTTTTTTTGAGATGTCTCAGCGTGACACTGATCTGTCGTCTGCTCCTGCTGCTCCTGGTGTTTGTTTCCTCTGCTTCCCCTGTGGCTGTTGCTGCTGCAGCACAGATGACCCGTCTCAAGCCCCAAATCGCCTCAGGAGCACCAGCAACAGCTGCAAGAGGTGCACACACCAAAGCTGCTGCTTTTGCAGCAACCCCTGCACCATCAGTACTGCCAGCATCTCCAGCCTCCACCACTACCACTACCCCGAGTCCCCCTCTCTCCATCTGGCCGGCTCCCAGCCTGGTGTCCTACACTCTGGCAGTGAGCCTTCTCAGTGAGGCGGGTCGAATCTCCGAGGCAGAGGCGACGTTTGAGGCGATGCTGGTGGCGGGGATGCAGCCGGACGCCGTGGCGTGGGCCACCATGGTGCTCATGTGGGCCCAGGAGAGCAACCCCGAGCGCGCCGCCATGTGGTTCAAACGCATGGTGGCCGCGGGATGCCGGCCCAACGCGTCAGCTTACAATGCTCTCCTAGTCGCGCTTGTCAGCGGGGAGATGTTTGACGAAGCAGAGGAGGTGCTTTCTGCGTTTAAAAATGGGCGGGACTTGGTGGGGCAGGTGGGGTTGGTAAGAAAGGACCACTCTGGTTCAGACAAACGCATGCTCGCCCAAGCCGCAGTTCCAACATTACCCTGGGTCCGTGGTGACAGTAGCAGCCTCTGGTCAGGTCAAACACTAAACCAGACAGGAGGCAAGGCGCCCAATTGGCTTCCTAGTGAACCTCCCAACCTCATGACATACGTGATGCTGCTCAATGTGTGCATGGTCTCTACAGCTGGAAACACTGTGAGTCGGCTGATGCGGCTGTTGGAAGCAACAGAGCATCCGGCTCACGCCGTGCTCCAGCTGCTCTTAAAGAGCCTTGAGCCACCTCACGCATTGTCCCACCTGTTTGTGGACGAGGGCGGGAGTGAGGGAGGGAGTGAGGGTGTATATGAGGGAGGGAGTGCGGAGAGTAGCTGTGGAAAGGCCAGGAGGGATGGTGTTGCGAGGGTGATAGCGGCAGGTTTATTGGAGATGGAGGTGAGGGAAGTGCACAGCCGTGAACCGCCTCGTGCATTGTCCAACCTATTTGTGGAGAATGGGAGTGAGGGAGGAATTGAGGAAATTGATTGCGGAAATGACAGGAGGGATGTTGTTGCAAGGGTGATAGCGGCTTGTTTAGTGGAAATGGAGGTGAGGGAAGTGGTGAGGGAATGGGAGGAGGAGCGGTGGCAGGAGGTGGAGAGTAGGCTGAGAGGGGATGATATCGCCAAGACTGAAGCCAGTTGCCAGCGGGCGTTTGCACAGGCATGCATTGCTTTCTTACATAAATTTGGGCGGCATGAGCAGGCAGCTCGCTTGTGGGACCTTTGCTGCACGCAACTACAGCTGTTCCCAAACATTGTTCGGCTACCCGCGATTTACGGGCGGGAGGGGAAATGTGTCTTGGACTTACACGGTGTGTCAGCAGGCACAGCAGTGACAGTGACCCGGTGGGCGTTGGAGAAGATGCGGCAGGCTGTGGTGGCCTCTGCTGCTTCATCAGGTGCTTTTGATTCATCGTTGGAAGTATCAGGAGGAACTGATGTCACAGTTAAAGAAGCGGATTTAGCAGAGAATATCGAGGATGCCGAAGAGGAAGCTCCAATTTCGAATGTGGAGCCAGCAGATGCATCCCCGGGCAAAATACAGCTGCAGTGGCGGCGGCCGGGGAAGGTGGAGGTGGTGACGGGGTGGGGCAAGCGCAGCCGGGTGCAGGGGGCGTCGCTGGTGAAGGCAGCGGTGGAGGCGCTGCTGCTGAGGGAGCTCACAGCGCCCTTCTCCCTCCACCGCTTCCACCCCGGCTCCTATGAGGCCTCTGGTGCTGACCTTGAGCAATGGCTGCTTTCGCCAGGTGTTGATAAGTTCTTGGCTCCAAAAAACGAGGATTGAGAGGTGCTTGCAGCATTGCATTTGAATTGGAGCAAAAATGCAGAGTTATTGAGAGTCCTGCAGACCAGGGCTCTTGCTAGGATTGGGCTTGTCTGAAAACACCCAAGTAAAAAATCGTTCCGTCTGACGATCAGATGGGCATATTTTTCTGGTCTGATTTTCCAGACGAATGTTGGAGCTTAGTCTGATTTTTCAGACTATAAGATTTGCGTAGTCTGATTCAGTTAACACCCTTGTCTAGCATAATCACACTTGTTTTTGTTAATGAACGCGCCCATGGCGCGGCGCTGAGAGCTCGCTAGCTGACAGGCGTGTGGCTGTTGAGGGGCATGCACGTGGCATTGAGGTGCTGCGAGGGATCAGGTTGGGTGGAGGGACGCGAGAAGGAAGGGGGGGCTGGGCTGGTGCGAGACTTCACAAGGGGCATGGGTGTTGGGCTGAACGCCCTAGGATCTTCAGTAGAGTTAAAGTCTGAGTAAATGATGTAGTAGCGGAAGCGTTTTAATAAAGTCCTTGAACCACCTTGCGCTAGTATGTGAGGACAAAGTGAGTTGATTAAAACAAAGGGATACAAGAATATATATATGAGTACAGAGAATATGAAGAGACATAATTGTAACTACTTGTCAAAATGAGGAATGGATGTTGCATTGATGTTGGTTGGAGTACATATGACAAACCCTAACTTCTGTACCCCCTAAGACAAACCTCACTACAGGCTACAACATTTGACACACCCCCATAGCCTAAGTGAGGGGTGTCTAGCAAAAACAGAAAAAAGAGTACGGTCACAAGACCAGTCCAAAAGAAAACAAAGCTCAGGGTGGATCACAACGTCACCACACACTCTGAGCACAAGAAACAGTGGCCACAAGGCCAGTCCAAGAGATCACAAGTATATATAGTAAGTGTACAGACGAAGCAGGCAATAAACTCAAGTCTATGCATGACTAGAACCTGTGTCAACAAGGCCTAACTGCACACAACACCTCTGGTGGTCACAAGGCGGAAGCGCCTTGGTGAAGATGTCTGCAGTGTTGGCCTCGGACTCTACAAACTCGAAGCGAGCCTGTCCACGCCTCTGCAACTCTCGCAGAAGAAAGTACCTGACGTGAATGTGCTTCACTCTGCTCTCCAGTCGCGGCTCACGACAGAGGAGGATCGACGCCTTGTTGTCAGTAAACAAGGTCGGTGCAGAGCTCGGCCGCTCACCAAGGTCGGCGAGCAAGAAGGTCAACCACCGCAACTCCTGTGCCGCCATGGCACCAGCGTAAATCTCAGCCTCAGCTGTAGAGGTCGAGACAGAAGAGGAGCGCGTGGAACGCCAGGAAACAGCTCCAGAACCCAGATTGAAACAGTACCCCTGAGTAGACCTGTGAGTCTCAGCGTCGTCAGCGTAAGAGGAGTCACAGTGACCAGTGAGTACGACAGACTGCTGCCCTCCAAGAACTAGCCCCACGCCTGATGTAGTCGCTAGGTACTTCGCTACCCTCACAGCTGCCGTCCAGTGAACAGGACGGTGTCTCCCTGGCGCAACAAAGCGCGCAAGGATGCTGAGAGGGAAGGCGAGGTCCGGGCGAGTACAAGTCATCAGGTACATGAGGCAACCCACAAGCTCTGCGTAGGGACCACTAGGCTCAAACGGCTCGTCAGGAAAGGGACCAGTGAGTCTGTGGTCAACAGCTAGAGGTGTGCGCTGTACGGTGGAGTGCTGAAGCCCGAACCGCTGAAGGACCTGCTGCACCATGTGTGACTGTGAGAGTGTAATGGTGCGAGCGGCTCTGTCCCTGGTGATCTGCAGGCCAAGGTAGTGGCGCAGCTCACCAAGATCAGTGCACGTGTGTCTCTTCTGCAGTTCGGACTTCACGTCTGCCAAAGCAACCCTGTCCGAAGTGGCGAAAACGAGGTCGTCGACGTAGACCAGAACAAAGAACGGTGTGGAGCCACGACGAACGAACAGCGACGGGCCGGTAGAAGACGGCTGGAACCCAAGGTCAGAGAGGGTAGAACGCAGAGTGTCGTGCCACTCACGAGGGGCCTGGCGAAGACCGTAAACAGGTCGCCTCAGCCTCCACTGGGTCCCAGGAGGGAAAGTGCCAGTGAAGGCCGAGGGACGACGCAACCAGACCTCCTCGTGTAGACTGCCCTGAAGGAAAGCAGTGGAGAAGTCAAGAGAGTGTAACTCGTAGTCTCTCTGTGCTGCTACGTGTAGTTGTCAAACATTATACATGTTATGCTTGTGTAGGCTACAGTGGGTTAGCCTATAGGGGGTACACAGTTCTAGGGTTTACCACTTGTACTCGTTTTCACTTCTAGTTCATTCATTCCTGTTCGCTTATTCTCACATGGTATAGAGCGGGTCCTTCTACGGACCGTTTTTTTTTGGGCCCACCGAAGCGCCCCCCGAGGCGCGATCTTTTTTTTAGCGACCCCTCGGGTCGCCATTTCCCCTGCGGCCCCGCCGCCTTCACTGTCGCGGCCCCGCCGCCCTCTTTGACGGGGCCCCGCCGCCGGCCCTTACGCGGCCCCGTCGCCGGCTCTCACGCGGCCCCGCAGCAGGCTCTGTCGCGGCCCCGCCCAGGCCCTTACGCGGCCCCGCCGCCTGCTCTCACGCGGCCCCGCCCCGGCTCCTTCGCGGCCCCGCCGCCTGCTCTCGAGCGGCCCCGCCCCGGCTTCTACGCGGCCCCGCCCCGGCTTTCACGCGGCCCCGCCGACGGCTTTGTCGCGGCCCCGCCCAGGCCCTTACGCGGCCCCGCCGCCTGCCTCCGTCGCGGCCCCGCCCCATCCCGGCCCAGCCGCCCCTTCGCGGCCCGGTCGCCTCCTGACGGCTCCTGCCGTCCCCTTCTACCGGCCCCGCAACTGCACCTGCTGGCCCCGCCGCTGCACCTACCGGCCCCCCACCACCCACCCCCCCTTTTCCCGTCGCCCGTCGCGGCTCCTTCGGGGGCCGCAAGCGGCCCCCTCAGGTCGCCTCGACAGGCGACGGGAGAGGCCAGCAGAGGGGTGTCAGGTGTGTGGCCTCCCCTGCTTCTCCTCCTCCTTCATCTCCCACTGCAGCAGCCGAGCCGCTCACCTGCAGCAGCCGAGCCGCCCCACCGCCGAGCCGCCCTGCACCCGAGCCGCCCAGCAGCCGAGCCGCCCTGCCGCCGAGCCGCCGGGTCGCTGAGCTGCTGAGCTGCAGTTGCTGCCGAGCCGCCCTGCCGCCGAGCCGCCGAGTCACCGAGCTGCTGAGCTGCAGTTGCTGCCGAGCCGCCTTACCGCCGAGCCGCCCGAGTCGCCCGAGCCGCCGAGCCGCCGAGCTGCCGAGCCGCTGAGTCGCCGAGCCTACTCTTCCCACCACTGGTGAGCTCTTGCCCTGCTAGCACGCTGCGCGTCGCCTGCTTGCCTGCCTGCCTGCCTTTTGGCTTGCCTGGCTGCCTGCCTCCCTGCTGCTAGTCCTGCTCCTACTTCTACTTGCGGAGCCAAATGCAGCCCCAGCGACGCCGGCGTGAGTCCCTCACGCCCCAGCAGCTGCGTGAGTGGTACGCTGGTTGGGGCTGTAGGGGTGGCGACGCTACTCCTACTACCACTCCTGCTGCTTCTACTCGTGGTGGCGGCCAGATGCAGCTCCCGCGACCCTCTCGCGTGTCTCTCACGCCTCGCCAGCTTCGTGAGTGGTACGCTCAGAGTGGAGGGTCTCTCAGTGCTGTTCGCTGCTCTTACGTGATTCGCACTGGTACTCGGACTGGTCAGCCTTGTGGGACACATAGTCATACACCGTCCCGCTGCTTCGCCCGTCTGAGCGACGCCTGGCGTACCGTGTTTGGCGAGGAGGCTGAGCTTCCCGACTGGGTGGAGTTGCTTAGGCAGAGGGTAGATATATATGCTCTTGACTATGATGCTATTCTCACTGCCATGTATGCATTGCCTACTAGTGCTGACCGTGCCGGTCACCTGTGCGTCCCGCCTGACCCAGGTATAGGACCTGCTGCTCTAGCTACTGGTGAGGCTGCTGCTCTGGGTGCTAGTGACTCTCCTGCTCCAGGTACAGGTGCGGCTGCTGCTCTAGGTGCTAGTGAGTCTGCTTCCTCAGGTGCGGGTGAGGCTGCGCTCTCAGGTACCGCGTTGGCTTCGGCCTCCCTCACCTTTACACTTGACTCTGGGGCTTCTCGCTCTTTCTTTCGGGACCGCACCACACTCACGCCGCTTGGTCGGCCGGTTGCGGTCTCCCTGGCTGACCCCTCTGGGGGTCCTGTCCTCGCTCACTTCTCCACTGTCCTCCCGTGTCCGGCTGCCCCCTCGGGCACCCTGTCTGGCCTGTACCTCCCCTCGTTCTCGACAAACTTGGTGAGTGGTGCAGACCTACAGGATGCGGGGGTTCACCAGTTCACTCCTGCGAGTCAGCGGGTGACCCACTGCACGGACGCACGCACAGGCCGGCACCTGGCCACGTTCTCGCGTCGGCCGGGGTCGAGCCTCTACACCCTGACCACTGAGTCTCCTCCTGTCCCCGCGTCCGGTCAGGTAGCAGCGTCGGGTCAGGTGTTTGCTGCTGCGTCCAGGTCTGGTCCTGAGTCTGCCCCCTGTTCGTGTCGCCTCCTGTCTCACGAGACTCTTCTGTGGCACCACCGTCTAGGCCACCCCTCCTTGCCCCGTCTTCGGGGCATGGCTTCCCGTGTCCTTGTCTCTGGTCTTCCCCAGTCTCTCCCTCCCCTTCCTTCGGGACCAGGACCTTCCTGTGTCCCCTGTGTCGAGGGGCGCCTCAGGGCTGCTCCTCACTCCTCCCAGTTTCCCCCGACAGAGGCTCCTCTGCAGACGCTTCACATGGACGTGTGGGGCCCGGCCCCCGTCCGTGGGCAGGGTCACGAGCGCTACTTCCTGTTGGTGGTTGACGACTACTCGCGTTACACCTCAGTCTTCCCCTTGCGCAGCAAGGGTGCTGTCACTGAGGTGCTGATCGACTGGATCCGCGAGGCTCGTCTCCAGCTCAGGAGGAGCTTCGGCTCGGACTTTCCTGTTCT